CCCCAAAACCCCAAAACCCCAAAACCCCAAAACCCCTTCAATATTTAAAGGATGAAATATTCTATTTTTAGATAATAAATGAGGGCCTTCATCTTACTTCTCATTATATGAACCACAACTTTTTCTGTGGACGTGAATAACCTCCTGGTTGGGTATGATAAGAGCATACTTCCTGGAGGGAATGATGTGACAGTTGTGAATTATACTCTTACAGCTCCTTACTTCTTGGAGATCAATGAAATCAACACTCATTTATGGATATCTGTTGTTGAGTACATGTCATGGGTTGATACAAGACTTCAGTACACACCAGCACCTTCTCAAGGTACTCTTCTCTACTAAATTCAGAAAGCATGAAAATGAATTCCTATATTTACAAGTTGTGGGTGCCAATAACAGATTTTAAGGATAGAATGGACCGAACTTTCAAAGATAGACGGGACTCAAGGTATTTTCTTTTTCTAAAGTTTAACTTAGTGACCTGATTTTATACCCTAATGGCACTTTGATCTACACAACAAGAAGAACAATGAGGATTAGGTGCGATTTTTCTTTTCGACTGATTCCTTTTGATAAGCATACCTGCTCAATAATCGCATTTTTTGTTAATGGCGACAAGGATGCTGTTATAATGAACTATACTGAGGAAGATGCAATGGCCCCACTTAAGCAAAATTCAGAAAGAATAGTCACATTTTTAGAGGAAGCAAGGACTTTTGATATAGATTTTTATTCTTACGGCCCAGTTGATGTATACCCAACAGTCAGATTGTAATATTACAAATTTAAGATTATAGTGATCATCCACACTCAGGATACCAATCAAATATCAAGTATTCTCTTTTATAAAAGGTCAATTCTAGGCTCTCCCGAAATCCAAGCTACTTCTATCAATATTATATCATTCCGTCTTTGCTAATCTTCTGAGTCTCCAATGTTTCCTTCTATATTAACAAGAATGGAGTCCCTGGAAGGGTAGTCTTGCCAATTAGTTGTATTTGGTTAATATCATCGTTGCTGAGAAATGTACAAAAAGATATTCCAAGGACAAACTCTAACTCTTGGATAATGAACTACATTATAGGAGTTCTTCTATTTATTGCGTTCTCAATGATTGAATATGCTTGCCTAAGTTGTTGCATGACTTGGTAAATTCTTGTTTTAAAGGATAGGTACGACACACGAAGAACTTTGATTAATAAGCATATTGATAAGCTCTCTAAAGCTTATGATAAAGAGAATCCTCTGAACAAAGGCAGGCACCTGGCTGGTGTTGTTGACGACTCAATAGATGGCGTATCCTCTAGTAGTTCAGATAGCTCGGATAGCTCAGATAGCTCAGATAGCTCAGATGACAGCGAGGCTAAGTTTGAGAATCAGCCATTGAGATCAGGACTGTTTAACCAAGAAAATCATGAAGGGAAAGAGGATAGCGAAGAAAACCCCTTTCCTGATATAGTGATTGAGAAGACTTCTCCGAAGCCTCCACAGATCATTAAGTCGATCCTCAAAACTGGAAGAACTAATGATAATAAAGACAAAAACCAGAAAGTTGACTTTGGGATGTCCTTCATAGATGCCTCTAGGAACAGTGAAGGTGTTATTGAAGGAAGGAAAACAGTTAAACTTAAGAAAGAGCCATCTCTGTTTGATGATGAGTAAGATACCAGTTTAATAAATTATAGCTATGAGATTAATGTCATTAGTCCAGCAAAGAATATAGAGAGGACTCCCAAGTGGAATTCAGAGGAACCTCAAACGGTTTTAGATAAAAATGCCACGATGGAGGATGAGAAGATAAATCAAAATGAACTCCCTGACATTAATGCACACCGCTCTCCAATGTTCTCAAATCTGAACAGATCTTTTACCCTCACGAATGAGTTTCCTCCTAGTGTAAACTTTCCTCTAATTGTATAGATTAATCACAACTTAGGTTTTGAATCAAGAGACAATACAGAAAAGATGAACAAAGTAGAAGGCATGCAAGAAGCATCGCCAAATATTGAGATCAACAAAGATGAGGAAGAGTCAGAGGAAGTTAAGGGAGATCTTACAGGGAACTTCATCCCTCGCACTTATACTATCCACGAAACCAACATGAATTTAGTTTCAGAGGAGAATAAGCCAGTAGGAGAGCTTGAAAAATCATTTTGTAATTCAGAAGCTCCTTTGGTCCCTGACTTGAAGTTTAATCCCAAGGACAAATCAAAGAGTGTGGCTATTCACCAGCAGTCTTCAGAAGAGGTCAAGAATATAGATGATCCCAAGGAGAGCATCGCTAAGATTCTGAGAAAGCATGCTCATAAAGGGAAAAAGACCAATGATCCTGAGAAGTACAAAAGACTCATCTATCGCTTGACAAGGATAGAGGCTAAGGATAATGACAAAATACAGAGGTTAGATAAGAGGACACAAAGGAGGATCAGAAGGATCCTATACCTTGAAAAATCAAAATGGTTCTACTTCTGAGGAATAATATGTAAGTTTACAGTAAAGAACAATTTAAATAGATTTATTAGAAATTATAGCTAATTTTGGACTAATATAGCCGCAAAAAACTGGCTTGACTACTGCTGCCGCATCCTGTACCCCTGATTATTTGTGCTGTTCTTGATCTGTATTTTCTTCATCTAAGCAGAAGATAAATTTCTATTCATTGAAACAACTCAGACTGATTCAGCAAGTAAATGATATTTGAATTGGGAAGTTAATATAAAATTCTACATTTATTCTGAAGGAATTTAGAAAATATGCTATTACTTTCTATGGTTTGGTATAACAAATCTGAAAAAGGACACTAAATAAGATATTTTAGCTTCTAAAATAGCCTTTTCCAAGCTGAGAGTCACTTAAGTGCTCTTAAACTTGAGCATCTCAAGTCTGGGAAGAAATCGTTCTGAACAAATCAGCACAATACTTCAACTAAATTTATATATTTTGGGGTTTTGGGGTTTTGGGGTTTTGGGG